GGTGGTGGCGAAGGAGGAAGAGAAGAAGAAGAAGGAGGCGGAGGACGAGGAGGAGAACGAGAAGGAAAAGAGAGCTCGAGTTCGCGTTCGGAATCGCATACAGACTCCCGCTTCTGTCGACTCAGCCGTTCCCTTCTCGTCGAGGTTACACGCAGCATCTGTACACGTCAGAGCACACCTGGGTGGTGATCTCGTGTATTAAATTATCATCGTGTTGATCTTACAAGCGAGCGGGAGATCGTTAGTTTTGCTCCAAGATCCCGCGATCGAGGACGCCGGACGCCTCGATCCTCCGCCGTCCGTTCAACCCGCCTATCTCTCCTTCTCCTCGAGTTGTTCGGCTTCTTCGCGTCTCGCTCCTCGCCCCCCCCCCCCCCCCCCCCCCCCCTCTCCCCCCCCCCCCCCCCCCCCCCCGGCCCCCCCCCCCCTCCGGCCCCCCCCCCCCCCCCCCTCCTCTTCGCGCTCTCGCTCTCGCTCTCCGTCCCGTCGACGAGCCTCCCTATCTCATTTTCTCTCGTCTCTTTCCCACCTGTTCTTATCCCACCACTTTGATCTTCGATCATGATCGGATAACCAGCACTTTCGCGTCACTTTCAAAGTACCTCTAGTTATGTACCAGCGAGCCCACCGGAATGTTCTCGAACCTCGTTCGACTATGCGCGTCTCGTACCCTTTTCATCGTTTGACAGTTCGCTTTCAAACAGCGAACGATATACTATTTTTACGAGACTTTTTCGTTCGATTCCTCCTTCGAATAACGATCGTCGCCTCTCTCGTCCGTCGGCAACGATCGCGTTATCCTTATCGTTCGCTATTGCACTTTCGCCGTGCATCGCGATCGTTTACGTTCGTTCGGTTAGCCAGTTTCGTTTTCTCTCCCTTCGAGATATCCGGTCGCCTTGTCTCCGTTCTCATTTTCGAGTGAATCTTTTTTTTTTGCTCCAGAGGCCGTTCGTCTTTCAGACGACGAGAAAGAAAATTCTGATCGGTCCCCGCTTTTGCGAAACCGCTGCTCGTCGTCTATATTGCACGCTGTATTTGCAGTTGCAAGAATATCAGAACGTTCGTTCGCAAAAGAACGCAAGGAGCTCGAGATGTTTGCGGAGGGCCGCGCGCGTGTACTCGCGCACGCGTACGATCGCGCGGTGGTATTGGCGCGCGCGCGCACACAGTGGTGTGGCCGTACTACGGTCGCATGTTCGGACACGGATGAGCCACGGGGAACCGTAGCGTGTGTAGAGACGCGCGCGCGCGCGCTCGCGGTCCTAGCGATGCCTCTTGCAAGCCCGTCGAGCAACTCCTTCTCACGATTGAGTCATCCGGCACGGGAAGAGGACCACCTGGTGAGGAGAGCCAACGATGTATCTAACGATATAGATCGTTTCGCCCTCGTGGCTCCTTCATCCTTATCCCCCGGCTCGATCGACCGGCCTCGATTCGGTTCAACGCGACTCCTTCCTACACTTGTTTATACCGTCTCCTTCTCATTGTCGGTGTTTCTTTCTCCCTTTCTTTCTTTCTTTCTTTCTTTCTTTCTTTCTTTCTTCCTTCGTTTGCTCCCTTTCGTTTCCCTTTTTCTTTTCTAGGCTCGCTCATTCCCAGCTCGGTGTCCACCGAGCTCGGGTCGAATAATCGCTCTTTCTAGCGCTCGGGATATGCTCTAAGCGCTGCTCGAATTAATCGATATAAATCGCCGTTTCCGCTGGAAAAGTTGCGAGAACGCGCGGCTCTTATTATTATATATTTTATATTATATTATTTTATTATATTATATATTTTATATTATATTATTTTATTATATTATTTTATTTTATATTATTTTATTATATTATTTTATTATATTATTTTATATATATTTTATATTATATTATTTATCGCTGCTCTGTCTCTGTCTCTCTCTCTCTCTCGTCGATGTTCCTGCGCGATACGGTAAATCCTCTCCAATCGTCGTTCAGCTTGTAAGCAAAAAATGGACGATTTTTTAACGCTTAGCCAACCGAACGAGGAGATCTCCCCATTTTTTAATTCAGTCGATCGACGACCGAATGGACGATTACTGAAAAATTAACCCTTTGCACTCGAGCGGTGACTCTGAGGCACACCACTAAAATTTGTTATATCACGCTTTAAGATAACTTTTACGTTAATAAAGTTTCGATTCAAAAGATTGTTAAGAATGTAATCGTTGGGTGAGTCCCAAGTGTCAATTTCATGCGCGTAAAATGCATTTGTCCATATAAAATAGAAATACTATAAGTTAGAAAAATGAAGTTAAAATAGCTTCGAGTGCAAAGCGTTAAAAATGATTGCTTAATTTTATATAAGATTCGCAAAAAGCACGAATGCCGATGAAGCAATCGATGCCGTACAAGTTTGTTTCGTAGCTTTTGTTTAATCGAATATTAATATATATATATATATATATATATATATATATATATATATATATATATATATATAATATTATATAATATTTTAATATTACGAAAATTTTCGAGCTTTCCAGCGCGGTCGTGGAAGACTGTTAAAAGAAGAGACGCGATTATTCGAGCCTTCTCGCGGCTGCTTTTTTTTTATCGTTGTTGACGATCGCCGAGGCTACGAGAACGAGAGCCGGGAGGCTCTCGAACAGTCGTCTCTTCTCGAATTACCCATTTTTGTTTACAAGCCGATCGGAGAGAATTTACTACCGTGATCCGTTTCGAAGGTACGCGCCGCGCGAGAAAACAGAGCAGCGACTTCGAGTTCGTAGAATCCCTCGTGGCTTCTACGTATCGCTAATATATATATACATCCGTGCCGGAGCTAGACGCAAAGCGTAAAGGGACTTCGGGGCGGCGGCGCGTCGGACGAAATCGGACGACATAACCGTGAAACGGTGCCGAAGAGCGTATGGTTTTTTGCGAAAGGGGATTTGCAGATTGCACACCTGTGCGTAGCGCTCGGCCGAGGAAAGACCTCACCTGTTGAGCAACCGGTCTCCATTGACTTTTTCTTCGTTTAAAGAACACTCGGTTCGCTCTTTATTCTCGACTCTCTCGGCTCTCGGGCTCCCGGACTCCCCGACTCTCTCGACTCTCGCCCCTCACCGTTCGCCACTTTCTGCTCTTTAGCCTTCGTCTCTTTGCTGTGTTTACCCTTTGCCTGCGATGTTCGCTCTTCTCGATTATTTCCCGCGGACGAACGCGCGGGAATAATTCTTGCGAAAATTTTCCTCGCCTTTTTTTTCGTCCCCTTCGACCGGCCGACGAACTCCGAGACAGCGGTTCTTTCCATTTTCTTTTCTTTTTCCGACGCAACCGGAAACGTTTTGCTTTCGACGATACGGATGAATATCGATGAATTTCGTAGCGAAGATTCGGAAGCGAGTATTGTCGAAAAAAATGGAGGACAATAGGCGAAAGACGAGATAAACGAGGAAAAACGAGAGAGAGAGAGAGAGACGTTGATTAACGGTGAGCGCGCGCGGCCGTGTCTGTAAATCCGTAGGCGATCTTTAACGATCAACACCGACGAGAGCGACTTTAGAAGGAAAATGATCGGGCTGCGGGCAATTACCAGGTGAGGGTCCGATGTAGAGTGGAGCGGGTACGGGAGTTCCGAGAATCGGTTGTGGCTAAAAATAAGATCCCACCCGGGAGCGGTGATTATGTTCCGAAAAAAGAGAACCGGGCGAAACGTTCTCCTCGGCGTGTGCAGGTGCCGCCGATCAGACGAAGAAAAAACGAAGGAACGGAGGAGAGCCGCGTGGTGCGCTCGAGAATCTCGCAATGTCCCGCGTCGGCTTGCATAAGAAGGCCCCCTTGGCTCGGCGGATTGCTACGCGATACCGAGGCGGTGCTATGTTGTGATCTCTAGTGCGCCTGAACGCGGTACTGTGCTCTGCTCTGCCGTGCCGCGCCGCGCCGTGTCGTGCTAAACCGTGCTAAACTGTGCCGTGCCGTGCCGTTCCGTGTTCAACTCTGCTGAGCGCGCTGTAGCGCGATGTGTTGTGCCGTGTCGCGTCGTGTTGCGCCGTGCCGCGCCGTGCCGGGCCGCGTTGCGACGCGCTGTGCTCTACCGTGCTGCTGCGAGGTTTTGTGCAATGCCACGTCACGTCTTGCTACGCTGTCGCTATATCGCGTTCTCCTGTACCGCGGCGAGCTGTAGGTACTGTACCGTATCCTGCCGCGCCGCGCCGCACCGCGCCGCGATTCAGCTCTGCTTAATGAAGTTGTCGGTTCAGGACGTTTACAGGTGGGGCCTACTTGCGTGTGGTCCATTCACAGCGACTGCAGCGGAACTGGTTAGGAGTGCTTTACATCTTTACTTTTACCTTTCGCGTTGCCTCGGATAAGCAGAATCCCTCCTCGCGTTCCTGCTGGTTCGAACAGGATCGACGACGAAACGTCGTCGCCGTCGCGTCACCGTCGATACATACGTCTCTTATTTCGATCATTTGTGCCGATCATTTAATCGCGACGATCGTCGCTTTCGCGATTATTAACGTTTTGTTTCACCGGAACCGCGGTCTCGGACCGATTTCTGTCCCGCAATCTGTCCATGCGGATAGAGCAGAAATATCATGTGTGCGAATATAGCAGATGGAAATGCCTTGTTTCGGTGCACGCGTGCCGAATAAAGGCAATTTCGGTGGATCCGTTCGAAGGCGACAGCGGTTTCGACGCGAGACGACGCGTCTTCCGTTTGCGTCTGTCACATTGCTTCCAGCGAACGCCTCGATTATTCTAGTCTAGCTATTATTATTATTATATTAGGGTCTCGGGGACGGACGTTGGATGTCGCCGACGTCGATCTCTGCGATCTCGACGTCGTCGTCTAGCTCCGAGAACCAATTGTCTGGCGCGTCACGATCCGTTCGGTTGCGTTCCGTTCCGTTCCCATTGTTCGTTTCCAGCTGTCAATATTTAACAATAACATTATTAATAATTATCAATAATTAATCCGTATATTTCTCGTGATTTTTGGTATACAGCAGCTTCTATTTCTCTATTTTCTAGACTATGCATCGACAACAGAGGCTTCGATCGCCATCGTCGTCTCCTTCGTCGCAATCTTTGCCGCGTTTCTCAACGTCCCGGTCATCCGTCGCGAGCGTGCTGCTGGCACCAGCGGCGACGTCGACGGCGACGTCCGCGCCAACGCCGACGCCGACGTCGACAACACCAGCGCTAACGGCGACATCTGCACCGGCGCCGATAATACCGATCGTACCGACGCCGACGAAACCGATCGCGACCACCACCGGCCGTCCGACGTCGTCCATCGTTCTGCCGGCGTCGTCGACGTGGTCCCCGTCGAAACTGTCGCCGTACGTCTGGAACGTGCAGCAGACGTCGTCCTGCTCCAGCCTAGCCTTGCTGTCGAACGAATCGTCGACGACGTCGTCGTCGTCACCGTCGACGTTATCGCTACCGGTACCTTGCCCGAGACTCGTCTCCGTTCTGGCATGGTCGATGACGTTGCTCCTCGTCACGTCGTGCATCGGCTTAACGGACGCCGGGATCCTGAACGGGCATCCGTTGGGTAAACGATCCTTCATCGACATCCAATGCAAGGGTATATACGACAAAAGCATATTCGCCCGACTGGATCGTATCTGCGAGGATTGCTACAATCTGTTCCGTGAGCCGCAGCTACACCAATTGTGCAGGTAAAGAAATCCCTCCGAGTTTCCTACGAATCCTCTTTCTTTTTCTCCCTACGTTTTCTATGCGCGTCGGTGTGTCGCGCGGCTACGCAGGTGTGCCTACGCGCAGCTTGCCCCGCGCACCTGCGTACCCGTGCGCCTATCTTGTATGTACAGTTCCTATATGTATTTTCACGGATTCGCGGTTCGACCGCGATCGGGCCGAAAGCGATCTGCTGTTGCTTTCCAACGGTGATCGTTCGAGCCTGGAATAAATAAACTTTGCCACTCCGAATGAACTCCGAAACGAGCGACCTCGATGCTTCCGTGACAGCAAAACTGTCGACTGCAGCCGACCCCTGTGTACACGCGTACGTAGGTAGAACGCGATCGAACAGATCGTCGCGGCAACCGTGCGCACGTTTTGCGTCGGTACTTGCCGTCGATTCCAGCTAATAATGCACGTGTTCGCTCGGAAGGTGTTTATTTCGAGGCCCAACTCACCGATGAAAATTCCTTTCCCCCCGCAGCGAATTTCGTTCAGCTCCGGCGGGGCAGATCCGAGACAGGTGTCCATGGTATAAACATAACCTATGCGACGCGATCTTATCGATCTTATTTCTCATATTTTCTTTCAGGAAAAACTGCTTCACGTCAGACTACTTCAAAGGATGCATAGACGTGCTGTTGCTGCACGACGAAGTAGAGAAAATCCAAACGTGGATCAAGCAACTTCACGGAGCGGAACCCGGGGTTTAGGTAGCTTCTTGTTTTACGTTTATGATTTCCTTCGACGCGCGTTTCCCTTTTACATTGCACCGGATTTACATTTTTTCTTTTTTTTTTCTTTACACGGCTCGCCACTCTTTCACGGTGTAGCCGTTTTCTTTCGAAATGATACTCGAACGAGTGAACTTGAATTTCGTTTCAAGTTCCCCCCCCCCCTCTCTCTCTCTCTTTTTATCGAACTATTTCGTACGTTTTATGTTTTGGTTGCTCGTCTCCGATGAACCCTCATCGCTGATACCTTTCTAATATTTCTGCATTTTTGTATTTTTGTATTTTTGCATTTCCGCGTTTCCACGTTTCTGCATGCCGAATCAACTTGGTATATATACATAGAAAATTGTATCTGGACGTCGCACACATAACCGGCCTTGTCGTCTCAAGAATATACAGCCACTCAACGTTCAACGGCGACACGTGAAATTCTCTCGTGTGTCGGACACGCGTTTAGGTAATTCTTTGTTGAATCGGGGACGACAGGTAACGAGGACGCGAACGAAGAAGAATCGGTGCAGAAATTGCTGGTATTCGATTCCCAGCCTCGTAAATATTATTGCAATCTCGCGTGTACCGCGCTCTACAGGGAGTCCCGAAAATGTCTCGCAATCGGAAATGGCGGATTTCTCGGATCATTCGAAACAACTTCTTCCTTTGCAAAAATGTTCTCCGACGCACCGTTAACGAGTTATTAACGAATAAACAGTGACCAATAAGAATCGAGTACGGCTGACGCGAGGCGGCCCAGCCGACCAGCGCGCGAAGCCCGGTTCCGCTCATTGGCTCGGTCGCCTCGCGCCAGCCGAGCTCGCCTCTCATTGGTCACTGTTTTTCGTTGATAACTCGTTAACGGTGCCTCGGAGAACATTTTCGCAAAGGAAGAAGTTGCTTCGAACGACCCGAGGAACCCGCCACTTTCGGATCGCGAGACATTTCTAGGACACCCTGTGTAACCTGTGTGCTCGGTGTCTCTGTGGTTTTCCACTCTTTTGCTGGAAATTATTTTTTATATTTCCACGCTGCAATTATTTTTCGGGGAATATTTTTTGATCGTGACTCGACGCTGAAACACGATGCTGAATTTTTTGTCCAACATTTTTCAGAGGACCAAAGGACGCGCAGGAACCTCCTTCGTCGCGTATCAAGCCGTTATAAAAAATGTTTTTGCAGCGAGCCAAGATTTTTGCAGGTTTTTATCGAGGACCACGGCGATTTTTCATTTTTCACTCGATACCAGCGCACACGACCTACGATGTGTACAAAATGTATATACAAATGAATAGAACTCGGTTCTTCCTAATTAGAAGCAGAATGAGACGAACTATTATCGCTCGGATTCGGTCGTTTCTTTTTTTTCTACGAATTAAATGGTTTTTTCGCAACCTCGCAGCAGCCGTTTGTTCGCGAACGCTCCGCCCAAAACGCATAGTAGACCACTGTGTTACCGACGCAAGATCCGCGAGATTTTTTCAAGGAAACGAGCGAATCCCGATCGATACATGTTGGTAAAATCGAGTCGAGCAATTAATTCGTGTCGCCGACGGATATATGTCGGTTCGGCTTTCGAGCCGTAGCCGGACAAAAGTGGGAAAAATCACGGTTTTAATGAGATTCACGGCGTGTTTCGCGCGCCTTCCTTTATCTTTTCCAGGCAAAATTGCTTCGGTACACAATACTTTCCAAGTTGTATTCAAGCGTTGCTGCTCGAGGACGAGATGGAAAAGTTCCTGGAGATGGCCCGTTACCTAGGACGCAAGAAATAAAGGCGAAGGGATTACGAAACGAACGACCTATCGCGAGCAATTCGTTTTCGTATTCGTATTCGTGTTCGTGTTCGTATTCGTATTCGTGTTTGTATATTCGTGTTTGTATTCGTATTCGTATCCGTATCCGTTCTCGCATTTTTTGTCAACGTACGCGTCGAAAGATTCTCGTCGGATCGGACAACAACAACAACAGAAGAAGAAGAAGAAGAAGAAGAAACGCGAAACCAACAGCATGCAACAAATAATCGCGACGTTTGTTTTATACGCCACGGTACGCTGCAGTCCGCTAACTATTAAACCCGGTGATATATAATTCGTTTACGTCGCATTGCCTGTAAACTTCCGAAAAGTGGAACACACGCTGCTCGTTATGTCGAGAACTCGCAGCAAGTTTTACAAGAACCGCGCCGTGTCTCCTCTTTGATTTCTCGAGTAGAGATAGATCATACCGCGACGCCATAAAAACACGGAGCCGACGACGTATGTCCATCGAACTGTGCAACAGCATCCGATATGCGTTTATTCGTAGTAAGGCGGCAAAATCTTACGCGCGAATCAACCCCGGTTCCGTCTCCCCTCTGTATTATCTCTACGGGCGAGCCGTTTAAATTATATTTTGGAAATTTCGAGAATTCCGACAAAAAAATCTCACCGTGATTCTCGTGGTTTTCGTTCTTGCGAACCGGTGAACGTCAACCTAAAAAAAAAAACCGAAGCGGTACGAGCGTTATCGTGTATGCGTGACCGCGTGCGGGTGGGCGCGCGCGCGCCCGCGCGCGTACGTGCGCACGCGTACGGTTAAATCCATACGAATCTAGTCGACAGAATATTTGCGCTCATGTATCGCGTCATATATCTTTATCCAGCTAATAATTATTAATTATTTATGTTGAGCATATTGTCGATATTGCGACAATTATTATTTTTTATTTTCTTATAATATATATAAATATATATAAATATAAATATATGCATATTAATATATATAGTTAGATATATATATATATATATATATACACGTAAATATATATATATACATATATATCAATATATATATTAACATTATTTCGTAGCAGAAATCAACTATCGATTACGTGGTTACTTATACAGTGTATGCTTTCGATAAGTGGATAGATAGATAGACAAATGGATAGAGTTTTTTATAGATTCGTTGGACATTCTCGCTCGGTTATACCATAGAATTAATACGCACCCGAACAGAAAAACGAAAGACCAGTACTCAGTACGTAGTACTCGCGCAATTATTCGATCGCGGTCGGTGGTTCAGTTGTAGAGTTGTTCCAGTCAGTCGCAACGTTTTTTCGTTTACCGCCTGGTACAAGAAAGCCGTTTCGGGAAGATCATACGAATCGCGCGCGGCGTTGAGAAACGTTCACCGCAAAATTCACGTTACTTTTTCGTCCGGGCTCGTCGTTTTCTTCGATTATGATTACCGGCACTATTACCATTCCAATTGCCAACTGTCGTAACAACAGGGTTAACAAACATTCATCGCGAGACCCCTACTACTGCCGATGCTAACGACCTTATTGCAGCTATTACTGCTGTGTACCATGCACCATGACCGTTTGTCTTTCCGACAATATTTTCGCTACCATTTCTAAAAATTTCGTCGCAACAAGGATCGTTACCACTGTTGTCACATTCGTTAATATCGCTAACATTTCTACTACCATTATTGCTATCGTCACTACTACCATTATCATTTCTCCCCCGTCGTTATTATTATCATTACCATTGTCGCCAATATTTTATTATTCTTATTCTTATTATTATTATTATTATCAACGTCGTCGTCATCTTCATTATTGTTATTATTATTATTATTATTTTTATTATGACAACTGTCACTAATTATTATTATTATTATTATTATTATCATTAGTATTATTATCATATCGTTAGTTTATAACATACTTATTATTATTATTATTATTATTATTATTATTATTATTATTATTATTATTATTACAATTGGTACGGTATAGTTGCGAAAACTCGCAAGGCCACCGTCGAAAGTTCTCGAGAGAGGAAAACGTCGACGGATAGAGCTTTAGAACGCTGTCAGATTGCGAACGGAGTTATCCGTATAAAGTAGACACGTAGTATATTTATTTATTTGTTCGCGTACTCGATTCGGAGGAAAACGATCGTAAAGCGGTCAGAAAACTTATAATATGTACGTCACAATGTTCTTCCACATATGCTTATCGAATAGGGAAACCGTTAAGAAAACCGACCGGAATGCCTCGTTTCCGTGTATAATTTACAATGATTACGCTCCAATAGATGATCTCTGATTTTTACTCTCGTACAAGGGACTCGTCGGCGACTCTCCGCGCCGAACGAAGCTCCTTCGACATTATCGAATATTATTTAATGCTGCGACGCATTCCCCGTTCGAAGGGAACAACGAACCATTCCAAGATCAGTATTGAAGCCATTCCGACTTCGCTATCGTTCCGAAATATTTTTGCCGAAACGTGATGTTACTTTCGTTTCTCTTTTGCGCCGCAACCACGTTTACAATTTTCTTTTTTTTCTCGGCATAACGCGCGTCTCTGAAATTCATTCGAGATACATATAATCGCGCGGCACGTACCACGCTCTTGTTCTATCTGTATCCTCTCTGTAAAACCGTCTCTACTCGTATGATTTACAATGTAACAACGGTCCGGCACGATCGTTGCTTCTTCTGTGTTTAACCACATGCAAGTAGAAACGAAAAATGATACGGCTAAGAATGCGGCTATTCCGTTCAATTTGATTCTTGTAAAATTTTACATGTAACGCATATTGCACTATGCTGCATGTTATATATTTACATATATACATGTATACATATATATATATATATATATGTATGTATGTATATATATAAATATATCTATACGAATAAAAATATATGTTACAATTAGCAGAACGCGTGGTTGTCAAAAAATGTATAGCTAGACGAGCTCATAAATTGTACATACGCGCGCATACCAAGCAACGCGCGCACCCCCATAAGCGTGTGCACAAGGTCGCGTCGATGTTCTTAAATAAATTGTATGTATTCGCTTTATACATATACCTCTGAGCGATGCGTACGTGTACTACTCACTGCGCGCGAATGTAGTCGCGCGCGCGCGCGCGCGTATTCTCGTGTGTGTGTATACGCAAAACAATTACTGACACACAGCTACTTCAGTCTACTCTCGCTGCGCATGAATAAACAAATCATTGAAAAATCACCGTCTAAATGATTTCGTTTCGACAACGATATCTCCCATTTCGTAGAAATGCAGCATTACATATAGGTAGTCGAGTCTCGACACCACGAAGAAGCAAGATCGACGCGATCGATTATACATATATGCATCGTGTATACGTAATTTCGAAGTTGTCGCGGTGGAAATTGATCGTAGATGGCGGTATACTCGATCGTGACTCGATCTCGCTGGTAAAGTAAAAACCAATAATATCGTGGAGAATGGTATCGATGAAAGCGGCACGATCAATTATTGGTAAATCACGTCGGATTAGATCGATGAATTGAACATGGGTCCGATGACAAATCGTTGCGTTCGAACGTACTTGTACATTTATAGCATACTATAGTGCACACCTGTTGAATTCGATGAAACCTTCTTGCTCCTTATTTGCACATTATTATAGAATCGCTTACCTCGTGGATAATGCCGAAGACTCGACTCTGCTCGTATATTTACAAATGCCTACGTCACGCTCGCGTGTATTCTTCTAATAATTTCACAGCACCGAACTCCGCGTGGTTCTCCTTACAATGGCCAAACCAACATCGTGAACTCTTTAGGCATGTATCTTAGAGCTATGTATCTATCGATCTATGTATAATCAATTAATCTTGAGTGCGATCGAGGTAACACACGTTTACAAGATGAAAGACGTACAAGCAAATTTATTTATTCATTCCTGGGTAAAAACAGTGTTTCAGAGAGCTTCGCGACACGCGTGTCATTTCAGAGATAATAAATTTCTGGCTTTTGATTCGGGAACCCGTTTAACCCTCGGCCAACGAAGCCCGACGATTTTCTTCCATATCACAGAGCTGTAAGAATGTCCGTGATCTCGATAGTACATACCTAACTCGACGCAACTTGGATACGTGCGACGGACTATGACCTATGACCGAAGGCGGACCTCGACTTTCGTTGAAGCGATTGCGAAGAAGAAGATCGGAATGCGGCGGAATTATCCGGCATTTATTATTATTTTGTTTTTAATTATCACCTCGACCAAGACACGCCAGTCGAGGGCCGCGAAATGTTCGCGGTGATGCTGCTCCTCGATTTCATACCGTACATTGCTACAACTGTTTATGATTTCTCTTCTCTTTAATAGCCAGGTTTTTTTATCGCAACAAAATCATGAAACACGAAACACTATCACCACGTAGCGGTACACGTCCGAACTAAACCTGTCTCCTCGGCCTCTCGTTGTCGGAAAAGTTTATGCGTATATGTACAGAATATTGAATGAATTCGAACGTACCGAAGATCAAAAGACTCTTTTAAGGGTAGTGAAATGAGACGTGAAGAAAGAGAAGAGGGAAATTCGAAATAAAGAGCAAGAATAAATGCGTACAATCCGTCAAAAATGGTCTCCTGAAAATTTGAATACATATGTACATACTGCGCCATTTTTAATAAGTGGCGCCACTCGTGGCGAAATATCGAACAAGAATTAGACAAATCGAACCGTTGAACAAATTTACCGACAGGGTTACGTCAATGCTCCGTCGCAACAGGCTTGGGATCCTAAGTTTTAAATAATTTATTCAAGCTCTCTTCTGGATTTAAAAGATTCTAAATTATTGCTTATCGCATAATTACATCGAATCTATAACAGATTACAGGTCTAAATACCAAATGCATGCTAGCAATAAAATGATTAAAGACATTATTAAATACCCAAAACGTAAAAGCTCGTAAGATAAGTTGCAATGTTTGTCGGATCTTAAGCCTGTTCAGCTCAGAGTTATCGACCGTGGGTAATGCCGGCGAACAGTTTCAGCGTTCTGGCGTTATTTTTATATTTTTCAGAGCAGATGATTCGTGCCGGATTTTATATCATATTTTATGGGCGAAGCGGCGAAACTTAGCTGTAACATTCGATATTTGCAACGAACGATTATTATATCGCCTTGTGTTAGGTTTTGCACAATAAAATGCAGTAATGAAATTTGATTTTTCTCTTCAAAGTTTGAGAAAGGTTTTATATTATCGCTCACTCGTATTTTACGTATATTTCTGAAAAAATGCAACCTTTCTATATAATTTTTACCAATTTTATACATATGCCTATTTTTTTTTCTCTTATTCCATGTATAATTTTAAATATAAGATAAATAGAAATAAGCTTCAGAGAATTATGTACATTTGCATTTATATAAATCTTTGTCAAAATTCGATGCAGCTGTATCAAAAATAAACCCAAATTAAATTTTCCGAAGCTTAATAAAAAAAGAAGAGAAGGGTGACGACGTCGATAGTAAATCGTTATATCGTAAAGTTTTTTTTTTGTTTTTTAACTGCTGACGCAACGAATCCTTTATCAACTATTATCTTAATTATTTCCGCCCTATTGTTAAGATCGGAATAACGCGACTTCTGTTTTAGGAAAAAAATCAGGATATGGTTTATTTTGCACGCAAATGTTTTTGCGTTTACCTCGGATTTATATAATATATTTTTGTTTCTCTTCTCTCGTGTAATTCAATTTCAATTCTCACGATCTGCGATCGATAAGGGGCAAGATGTGTCACGCAACCGGTGTCACAAAGCATATTATGTACGATTTAATTGTTAGATAATTCGATTGTTATACGAAACTCTCAAACGCACACCGATTCAAGCGTTGCTTTAAATACCTGCATTTGGTTAAGCGAAGCACAGTTTTATCGACTAACCAACCGGCAGACGTGATGCAAAAAGCGACGATGGCAACTCGAATGACAGAATTATCATTTCTGCTTTTACTGAGTGTCGCTTGGTGGTCGCGTGTCGAGGTGAGTTCGCGCTTAAACTCCAAAATCAGGGTTCGGCACATTTATTTCGCAGTTTCGCTCGGCGCGAACGAAAAAATGTTCAAATTCTAAGTGGCCCTCTCCGACGATGGCTTTCCCTAAACTGAATTGAAAGTAGATTTTATTTAGTTATCGTACACAGTTTTAATGAAATAAATGTTGACAAAAAAGGAATAGAATTTTCTCATTTCTTTTCATATTTCGGTCGCTTAATGTTGAAAATAATTTCTAAAATATCCAGGAAATATATCAAGTACATATAATAGAAATGTTGTAAAACCTCCATTATTCTTCTATAAGATAACGGACCAGTTGCGTTGTACGTCCAACAGCCGTGTTGTTAAAAATTAATTAAAATTAATTAAATTAAAATATATAAAAAATATATAAATAAATTATAAAATAAAAAAAAATTATAAAATATATAAATAAATTAAAACTAATTAAAATTAATTAAAATCATCCGTTGAATCATAAGCGTTAATTCTTTTTCTACTTATTAGGCGGATCGTACAGTTACGATAAATTCATTCCAATCAGAAGTTGAAGACGGAAATTCGGTAGCAGATTCTATGTCCGGAGATGTCGGGGACAATCTCGTTAATTTTCTGATGAATATTAAGAAGAGCTGTCCGGGTGCGGCGCAGGTATTGTAAACTGACAGTGTCACGTTTATCACCCTAACGACGCGGTGATTATACATAACTGGCGAAGAAATCTGTTCTCAGTTGGAAATAGAGGTTTACAAAGACGGCGTTGTGGTGTACACGAACGGCCAAACTTTGAAGCAACCGATGAAGGAGTTCCAACAAATGAACATATGCGGATCCATCGATGCCCCGGAGCCCGACGACGAATCCTGTTCTATACAAGAGGTAAGGGACCATAGTTTCACAATTTTAGACCCAAGCTAAGATCTTGAATCTTCGACGAACCGTTTACGCGAATACTTCGTCTTCTAGGGCGAGCAAACAGCCAGTCAGTGCGATGTTAGTGCATGGTTCGAGAGTTTCGACGAAGGTGATTACAAAGCTGTCGCAGCAGTTACTGTCAATAATGAAAAACTCGGTGCCTTGTTCCTTGACGTAACAATTTCTGCGTAAAGAGATAACCGTTTCAGAATGTAATACAGTCGCAGATGTGAATGCACGTTTTATGGTATCACGTATGCGATTAGTTTGTTTCGTTTGCAGTAAATAAAATACCTAGCGCATCATACGCTTTTGTTGCTTTATTTCTTCGTCGCGTTTCGAAACCTTTGCAACAACAGTTTAAGCATTCATAATATTATACGAAAGGGAAAATTTTTGTTCGACAGCGTTGCTGGATTGCGAATGATCGTATCTAAGAGTAACAATAACTTGAACAAAGTCGTTGAACGACTTCGGGAACTCAATTTTAGTAATCTGGAACGCTCAAGATCTAGAAACAACGATATTTATTTGTCTTCTACACGACGCAATTAACGATATCGCGAATATGCATAGCGTTCCTTAGATTTTAAGTAATTCATCGAGGTATGGATCGTCCTGTTGATGTCCTGGATATATCTTCTTGTATTTCAAACCGGTTACAATGGTGGAACTCTTCGGGAACGCAGTTTTACCGCCGAACAGTGTGTCCGTATCTGAAACAACATCATCGAAGAATTAGTTAGTTTCTCATTCTTGCGATGGTAACGATAATTATTAACACTGTGCCGTCCGCGGATCTTAGATATGATTCTTCTGTTCGACGCCGGCATAATAGCTTGGAAATTTTAGATATAAACAAAAAATATCGAAGATGGCGGTAATATTCCTAAAATTAAGATATGTCATCCGTTGGATTTTTGGTACTTAATTCTTAGTTAAATAAGCACAATGCTGTAATCAGTTTGCTGCCTTTTAACAGCCAAGAAATATAGTTCAAATGTTATTTCAGTTTTTTAAAATGGCCCCAAAGTGGCCCCCACCGGCATAGTGTTAATTATGAATTTCTAATCGATCAACTTGCCGGGATGGAATCGGTGATACTCGTAATTGATGTGCAAATTTTTCGGTAAATCTTTGTTGCGCATAGCATCCAATGGAGTTTGGACGCTCACAGACGTTCCATAGAAATTTTTCAGATCACCTAAAAATACAAAGTTAAATTTTTCAGTTCGAACAACGTTTTGTAAATATATATATTTACAGTTTTGTAAATATATTCCATGCGATCAACGTTTCCGGACGACTTACCGACCGTCTCGATTTCATAGAGAATAGAATTAGGCACGGAATGCTGAAATTCTTTCTCGCAAGCCACGAAAAGCTCGAAACGTTGCAGCGGATCGGTCAGTTGCGTTTCATCGNGAAGAATTAGTTAGTTTCTCATTCTTGCGATGGTAACGATAATTATTAACACTGTGCCGTCCGCGGATCTTAGATATGATTCTTCTGTTCGACGCCGGCATAATAGCTTGGAAATTTTAGATATAAACAAAAAATATCGAAGATGGCGGTAATATTCCTAAAATTAAGATATGTCATCCGTTGGATTTTTGGTACTTAATTCTTAGTTAAATAAGCACAATGCTGTAATCAGTTTGCTGCCTTTTAACAGCCAAGAAATATAGTTCAAATGTTATTTCAGTTTTTTAAAATGGCCCCAAAGTGGCCCCCACCGGCATAGTGTTAATTATGAATTTCTAATCGATCAACTTGCCGGGATGGAATCGGTGATACTCGTAATTGATGTGCAAATTTTTCGGTAAATCTTTGTTGCGCATAGCATCCAATGGAGTTTGGACGCTCACAGACGTTCCATAGAAATTTTTCAGATCACCTAAAAATACAAAGTTAAATTTTTCAGTTCGAACAACGTTTTGTAAATATATATATTTACAGTTTTGTAAATATATTCCATGCGATCAACGTTTCCGGACGACTTACCGACCGTCTCGATTTCATAGAGAATAGAATTAGGCACGGAATGCTGAAATTCTTTCTCGCAAGCCACGAAAAGCTCGAAACGTTGCAGCGGATCGGTCAGTTGCGTTTCATCGCTCATTGAGATTGACTGCTTCTTGCAGATTCTATCTATTCGGGTGGACGCGTCCTTCGGAGGATCGTAGGGCTTACGATACCTCAGAAACCTGTAACAATCCATGTTACATGAAAAAAATCTAATAAATTATTATTAACATTATTATTTAATTATTTATATATATAATAATGCAACGAGCATCTCGTGACTTTCGAAGTATTCCCGAACACGTTCACGCCGAATTAATATTTAGCAGAAAAACTCATTCTCCGACGCCACCATTGTTATCTTGGGAAGCCCGTTTCCGTTTACCCTCGATTACGCGCATCGAAACTTGAAAATATCGATTTTGCAAGAGACACCTACCTAGCCTACACGTTTCGACGAAACGTTCTCGAACGTACCGGGCGAATTTACAGGTAAATCGTCGAAGAATTTGTAATCGCAATCACGAACAAAATACTAAATAAATAGTTCTGCACAGAGTTTTTCTGTACGGAAGATACCGGCGATGCAATACGTAGATACGATTTTTGCCGCTGCCGGGTGGCGTGCACCCTCGGCGTAGCGACGAATTTTCCGATAAATTCTATTCGTCGCCGCAGCAATCGATAGGAGAGCATCGCGGATCGATATTAGCGGCGTTCGAGATAATCCGTACGTTCGACGACGACGACGACTCGCGCCAAATTTTTCGTATCGCATGAAAAATTGGCAGCGTGCGGTCGCGGCTGTGACACGGTGCGGCGAGGGGGCGGCTTCCCTTGGAAGACGGGGACGAGGGTAACGGTGTAAAGCGAGAAGGGAGGGGGGAAGGGACACAAGATCGATGTTCAACGGCCGTACAGTGGTGCCCTCAGTTGTATTTTCTCGGGATACAGTTATGGCTAATATTGGCCAGGAACGAAGTCGCCGATGGAAAAACCCCGTGGCTATGGAAAGCTTTGGTTTCTGCACCGAACACGATTCCACGAGAGACTTTGAAATTCTTATCCGCTCTCTGCTTAAACCGAATTTCGACGAATCTGCCGATTCTATCGATTCCGATCGACGAAAGAATCATCGTCGTTTCGAAAAATTAGATCGCAGTTTCATTTCGCCGAGCGCGCACGTAAAGTTTCATCACGTAAAAGATAGTTTGTCAATCTTAATTACAAGGACGGAGAAACTTGGTCTCCACCGAACAGGTGTTCCCGCTGCGAAGCAGCATGTAAACGCAGCGATAGAAAATGAAAATACGTCGTCGTCGACGCATTGTTTTTTCTTCCACGTACAAAGTACGTAAAACAGTTTTCTCCGCCGCTCTATTTATTTCGCTGGATTCGCCTGGAAAACGGAGTCAATTCACCGCGAAACAAAAAACGAATAATAATAATAATAAGCAAAAGTTGGAAAAGTTGAAAGGTCGGAAAAGTAGGCGTCGCGAACGTCTCGTCGACGATGGGAAATATTCTTTAAAGTAGCGAAATTGCGGCAAGCGATTTTGGGCGAAGGAAACTTTTTCTACGGCGGCGTAAAAGGGTATGGCTCGCCGTTACGTCACGCGAAAAAGGTGGACTCTAATTCGGTGCACGGATACCGATTGTAATTCGAATCGATGCCGAATTACGATTTCAGTAGATCGAGAGTGCAATTTCGACGAGTACAGATGCATCGGGCTTCGCTGCGGATACTAGCTGCGCTCGGTAAAGCGGAGCATACGCGTACGTAACGCGAACGATCCGAACGATTGAACATCGAGTCTCGAGTAGTCCGACGATACGATTGCGTTCGAAAAGCTCGACGATTGTTCCTGTCGTGGAGAAAATCTGGGAAACTCGTTATCGTTGTCGCGCGTAGAATGGAAAAAGAAACGGTTGTTGGGTGCTCGCGTTAACGACGGTACGACGACGGTGCGGTTCCGACGCATTATTTTTCGTGCGTTCCAATAGTAAACAATTCGAACGTATCCGGCGGGGCGCCAATATCGCGAGCGCCTACCCTGGGAACTTGTCAAACCCGGCCGCCGATTGGCCAGCAGGCGAACGAGAGATGGTAAACGGCAATATGGCGACAGTGTGTCCTCTAGCTGCTGGGAAGCGACGCGACGTAACGCGAATATTCGGTTGAAAGTCGTACGCGAGACGATCGTATTATTTACCCTTTCGTTTCAAGAGACTTCTTCTCGTCCTCGAAGCGACGCTCCACCACCGGTCTGCGTGTCTTGCTTTTGAAGCGGGCAATATCGTGTCGCGAGCTTGTCTGTAAAATGACGGTGGTCTCGTTAGCGGTGGAACCGTACCCCGTGAACTCGACGGCTCCCGGCGAGGGCCGTTCGGCGACGATAGTGTATAAAAAGTGTACGTGAAGTGTCTCCACTAACCGTGTTCGCGGCGAGAATAGAGGATGTACATTTCAAGTGATTCGCGAGTAAACCATGCCTGATGAGCGCCGCCATCTTCTTCCCCGTCGTCGAAGCGAACTGCGCGAGTGAGCGGTAGGGGTCGCCTCGGGCGTCTGCGCTTGTTGTTTCCTATCGTCCGCCATTTTACGGTCGCCATTGAGAAGTGAAAACCCTCCTAAATGTTCTCGAATAATAGCGGCCTCGCCGTGTGATTTTCGGGGCTGAGAGAGGCGCGCCGCCGCGAGAAGTGTTGCTAATGAGTGTACGGCGTACGATGGAGAAGCCATGACGCATCCGTCGCATCAAACGAACGGCGCTAGCCTGGAGGACTGCCACACTAATTTCTTCGCACTGGTGAGTGGATCGGCGGAGCCCACTCTTGCCAAGAGTCGGCCCGCATATCTTCGTCGTGTCTCCGGTATCGAACGAACGGGGCTTCGACGTCGACGTCGACGTCGACAGACAGGGACCAAGTTCTACGACGGCCGCTTTAACGGTACCGCTTGGCGTTACGTCGCGAGTACGAGTCGCCCGGGTTAACCTATATATCGGAGAATTCCCGTGGGCAGTACTCGATCGTTCGTTGTCGACGACGTCGGTGTTGTGTATCGCGGCACTCCCCTCCCATCCCCTCCACTCCGCCCTTCTGCCACTGTTACATGTATTTACTACGCGCGTATGTGCTTTATGTACGTACGTGATACATAAAACGCGTACGTATGCATATATATATATATATATATATATATATATATATATGTATGTATGTATATAAATATATATGTATATGTACGTATGTACGTATGCTTATATTTGCATACATGTATCCGGGCATATACGTGTACGCGTACTATGTAGGAGAGCGCGTCAGTGGGATTTGAAGTTTGCTATACAACCCAATGTCATGCCTGATTCACGTCGGCCCTGAGTTCTCTGCTCGTCAAAGAGTTAAAGAGGTTGCAGCAGCCGCAGCAGCAGGGCCGACAACCGGTAGAGCTGTTGCATCTATCGCAGAGAATTATTATGAACGCGATTCCTAGAGCCGCGGTGCTCGCGCCGATATCCGCGATCTCTCGTTCGAGTCTCTTCGAAACGCGTCGCTCTCGCCTTCTCTCTCTCTCTCTCTCTCTCTCTCTCTCTCTCTCTCTCTCTCTCTCTCTCTCTCTCTCTCGAGACAAATAACAAGATCGCCTCTCGTAACATTCCTTTCGCCTTTCGACGTGCTTCGAAAACTGTGTCAGACATTGTTTCCGCTGTTCGAAAGTCCTGCTCTCCGGTCGCAGAACGAGACTAGGAACGAAAGACGACGAGTCTCGAACTCCGATAACCTCGATCGTCGGTGCCGATGCGATTACCTACGGATACCGATACACCGACACCGCCGACCTATCGGTGCACAGAGAGGGAGCGTTTTCTACCTGGTGACACAGCGCGCGATATGCCATGGAAATAAAAGCGATCGACGGGCAAGAAGAACGTGTTTTAGCCGTCGGAGAGATTATTCGGTCAAGTTTTTTTTATTCGACGGATACAGAGTTTGTGCGGTGACCGCGGACGCTTCCCTGTCAACTTCTGTCACTTCTGCCGCCAAGCGGTGCCGCTCACGAACGTCCCACGAGACGAGCGGACATCGTGTCTTCCGTGGACGGAACGTCGTCTCTCCTCTTGCATTCGATAGTTGCGTCCGAGGCATCGATTCGAATCGATATCATCCGAATTTCTGGCGAACGACGACTCACACCGCGAAGTGATTCACGGGTCGACAAGAATGGTGTAAACAATGGTGTGATCGTTTAGAAACGCGAGTCTTGCTCTCCGATTTTAATTGCTGGACGATCTATTTCACCGTAGAAAATTCCTGTCTACCTAACCTGTACTTGTCGCACCGAAGATATCTTCCGCGAAACCGTTCTCGAACATTATTAAATTTCCGAACGTTGCAAGTATAGGTTAGGTCTGGATCTCTTTTGAAAAAATTCGCTCGTTGTGCGCGGATCGTTGTTTACCGGTGACGCGTTTACAAGAACAGTAAATAAATGACGCTCGCGTTGCCACGGAGCGGGGTACCGCGGTTTTTCAAAATGAAAAACTTCCACAAAATGTCAGACAGAGCTGTGCAGCAACGTGTTCGAATCTCGCGTGCAAATCGGAGAGAGCAGGATTCTTCCGAATAATCCGAATATTTGAAAGAGTATTTACGCTTCGGTCGCTTTGCAAGTGTGACGCGTGGCGCGGGTTTCTCGCGCGTTTTGTCCACCTATTTTAGAAGAAGCCAGCCAGCCCTGTGTACCGTATTGTGTGTGTAACACCGCAAGGCCATTTCTTCAGTCTCTCCAGTCGCGCTCGCTCTTTCTCAGCGTTTCCGACTTCTGATTTTGACGGTGCGCGGTATCCACGCAACGCGAGTTTACACACGCAGTGGTGGTCGCGGCCACGGTAGCGAGAGAGCGAGACGGACAGATTTTTCAGTCGCTCGAGAAACATTACCGAAAGAGCTCTTTCGACGGTACGCTCTTTTTCTGATATCACGATCGTTAACCGATTTTTCTCGACGGCCGCAGAGAATATTTTATTAATAAAATATAATATAATATTATAATAATATTACTATTATAATATCATAATAATATTATATATATAAAATATAATATTATTTTGACAAATTCTCCTCGCTTCTATTTCACCGCGAATCTCGCAGCGAAAGTAAGCTAACCTAAATTTTAGCGAAACTCTCCGCGTATTCCGCGTCCACAATTTCGATACGTGCCTCGAAATGGTACTTATACGATGTACGCACACGCAGATCCGATCTCTTCGCGTTGAACAATTTAAAAGACGACCATGGAAACGATAGTTTCCATTTTACATATTTTTTATCGGCAGTTCCCGTTTCTATGAAATTATTTCGGAAAGACTCTCGCGAAATATCGTCGGTCGGTTTCAGCGCTCGATAATCCTAGCGCTAAATTCGGCGGTTGTCAGGCCTGCCGACGACGTCCGTAGGGAGAAAACCGTATTCTTTCGTTTCGGCTACACCTACGACTTTCCCCCGATAAAGTTCGATTACGTCGACGACAGTTCGGCCCCCCTATTGCTTCACGTGTGTGTGTGTGTACCCGATCCTGGAAACGATTCCGACGTTCCTTTGAATTCTATCCGGCTTCGAACTGCTGCTGCTGCTAGTCACGGTTTCCATGCCCGTTCCTCCGGTTTTTTAATTGGCGGAAATGTTACACAGTTTCCCAGCAGCGCGTACAGTACAGTGCTCCCTCGGACGACGCGCGCGGGGGTTAGGGACCGCCGCAGTTATCCGCAGTTTCGAGCTACCTTCGACCTTCGCAAAAATCTCCGCGCGTTCGCGTCGCTCGATCGCGTTATTCGCTCCTCGAATTTCTGCGTTTATGTGCGGTGCGATGTTTCTACAGAGACGGTCGGGCGTCTTGTACTTAACCCTTTGCGCTCGAAGCTATTTCAACTAAAAATAATTTTTATTAATTATTATATTATTTATATTATTATTATATTATATATATATATATATATCTTTTATTATAATATAATATATAATAATAATATAATATAATAGTTATAATATAATTTTTTCGAAGCTATTTCAAATCTAAAATAATTTTAACTTTTTAAATCTAAACTTTGCTAGTGTAAAAATTATTTTAGAACGTGATATCATACATTTTAATGGAATCAATTTTAATTTAATCAGAGTCACCGCTCGAGTGCAAAGGGGGTTAAAAGTGAGCTAGGCGACGAGTCGCGTCGAGCAGTTAGTTTACCTAATGTTTCAAAATCTTTTAAAAAACAACCGGAATATCTGTTCGGTTGCTGTTAGGTTAGATTTCGACCGCGCAGAAACGTCGCGTTGCAAATGTTCGCTTTCTTATTTTCCCGGACGAGGAAGGTGGTGCACAATGGGCGCATATACGTCGAACAATCGATCGAAAATGACCAAGTACAGTTGGTTCACTCGTAACCGGAACAGAATTGAAAATATTTTTAGAAATCGAACCGGAGGGATTGTACGGTGTAGATTGTTAATCGGTTGGTATTGACCGGTAAAACTGTAGCTGCCATCGGCTAGACCGAAGCGATGCACCGGGGCGCAGCGGCGCTCATCCTGGACAGTGAGTCGAACCGTCGGGGTGGGGGGGACGAATCCGCGAGCCCCGAATTCTCGCGCGACGGCGAGCCCGCGTCTCTCGCGACGAAATCTCGAAAAATCTTTGAAAATCTCTCGGACGGCGGGAAACGTCGAGAAACGGTTTGCGCAACGGAATTAACACGAATTTCGAAACGCGCCGCTCGGCGCTCGCGCTGCCGTCGCCGGAGAATCGCTATTACGGATCGCAACAAGGAACGAACGGTGCGCGTAGGGCAATAATAATAAGAGGAGCGTGAACTTCCTTCTACGCTACGTCGACGGCGGAATGGAATGGAATGACTGAAGTGCACGCAGTCACGTAGCCTTCTAGAATTTATACGGGATTCCGGCGTACTGTTATTTTTCTCGTCACAAAAGAACCTGCTTGCTTGTCGTGCGCAGCTTCGAGGCTGACGAAACAATCGGAGCGTAATCCGCCACCGTGACAATTTCCAACGTCCGTGGAAATTTCTAATTCGAATTTTCGGCAAGCCATTGTTTTTAACACTTGCACGACCGCTCAAAAATTTTCATAAAATTAAAATATTTCATTCGATTAAAGAAAAATTATGAAGCGAACTTATATTGGCATCTGGATTACTTCTTCGGCATTCGAACCTCTTGCAAATCTTAATAAAATCAAGCAATCATTTTTCATTTTTCATTGATCGGTCGTCGATCGACTGAATTTAAAACCGGGAGATCTCATTTGGTTGGTTAACTGTTAAAATAAACATTTGGCAATGCCGATCTTGTGCCGTGCTTTGATATTTACTATTTATTATTTATTATTATTATACAATATTTCGAGTTTAATCGCACATTTGTGAAATCTAAATTATTATACATATCGCATAGAATGCCGTATGCAGTTTAAGAATAAATTGAAACCAGTGGTCGAAGGACTATGTAATCTTTGGATGTAAATAATGAACAATGAATCTAGGACTAGAAGAAACGGGATGCGATATTCTATAACGAAATGAAATGATAATACATTGATAATACGAAGAATGAGAAACCGGAATGGTTTTGCGATATCTTATAGAAAATTAATCGAAATCAACCAATGAGAGGCGAGCTCGGCTGGCGCGAGGCGACCGAGCTAATAAGCGGATCTGGGCTTCGCGCGCTGGTCGGCTGGGCCGCCTCGCGTCAGCCGTACTCGATTCTTATTGGTCACTGTTTTTCGTTAATA